CGGGGTGGCTCGGAGGCGTCCCGGAGGAGGAGGAGGGAGGCGGCTCGGCAGGTGCCGCTCCACAGTCGCTCGCTCTCTCCTGGCCTGTGCGTTTTGGCGCAGCTCTCCCGAGCCGAAAGTTCCCGGAGCCCTTCGCCAGCGGCGAAGGAGGCTCTCTGGGCCGTGGGGGTTGGTGTCTTTCTCACGGGATTCTGCCTCTTCGTCCCAAAACGTCTTCAGGGCAGACGCAGTTCCGCGGTGTCATGTCACACTCATGGCTGCGGTACGCGTTTGTCTGGGTTTTTTAATAATGCCACAGACTCATTCAATGGAGTGGAGTGTAAGAGGTGATAAATACAAGAAATATATTCCCCTTGAGGGAGAACTTTGTTTCCTGGTAGTGGCTAAAATGGGGAAGTGAGGAGTCTGGCCCCAGCCTATAAACAATATAGACCTTTTGAGGTGTGTGTGTGTGGGGATCAGTCAGCAGTGACTCATGGCAGTCAGGATGGTGGCTCTGCAGGTCCGGGGGATGTACCCTATTTAGAGGGCTCAGCAGCAGGCGCAAATGTAAAGCCGCTCAGCTTGAGAATGTTAGTCTCCAGAATCTGACATCCTTGTGTTACTGCTGACTGCAGAAGGTGGAATAGTTTTTTTGAGCTGTGCCACTGGAGAGTTGGAATGACGGCAAGGGATAAAGCAATTTACAATTCTCTATTCCATTTTAGGGGTTCTGCTGTTGCCAGAAAAATGAGACCTGCTGTTATAACTTCTTTTTCTACTGAACGAGAAAAGGAGGTCATTAAGAGGGGAAGCATTTTCTAAATGAAATCACTGAATAAATAGCTTATTGAGAAATAAGTGGCTGGTAGTTTTTAACAGTCATATTACAAGGAGGACACAAATGGTGTCTGACAGTAATGAGCAAGATGCACTTATACAAGATTTGGTTCTTACAATTACTTTATCAAGATGATTTATGGATTCTGGTCCTTGCCTCTAAACTGGAAAAATGTTCAAACCCAGCAAGACTAATTGAAATGCATTACTTTTTACCTGAGACAGGGAAATCCAGTTCATAAATAAAAACGGATGAGGCAGTAGCACTGCAGAATAATTTTGAAAGCATGGTAGGTCAGACAAGTAAATCAACATGATATGGCATTGCAGGAAAAACGAGAGAAGTCATCCTCAGATACAAACATGGGACTCTTCTATTTAACATACAAGGGGTTGTCGCTGGGTACAACTCAGCACTAGTGGAGCTTTAGATCTGTCTGCTTTTGATATTGCACTGGAAAATAGAGCAAGAATGCTGATGCATGATGAAATTTGAGGAAATTCAGTTTAAGTTTAGAAAAAGTAGGCTGGTGAGAGAGAGAGATTTTAGGTTGTTAGAATCTTTCAGGCAAGAAAAATGTTCTCTTGGGGCCACAGAGGGTAGAAAAAGTGATTAACCCTGTTTGATTTGCAGGAAAAAGGAGATTTAGTTCTAAGTGTTGCGGTTTGTGCTTGACTTCTTATCTGAGAATTGAGTTATATAGTTCTCTACCAAAATAATAGCTTTGGTTTGTTTGCTTTTTTGCATGTGATTTCTTTAATTATGAAATCTAAAATGGTAGTATGTAAAGAACAGCCGAGACCTTTGTTCTGTTTAGGCTATGTACATTTTAAGTGTTTGTTTTGCTAGGCTGTATGAATTTCAGTTTCTAGCTAGATGTCAACAGCAAAGGTAGCTGTCTAGTGGTAGAGTGAGATTTAGGGTTTTTCTAAGGTAGCAGTTGAAGTAGGAAAAGCAACAGAAGGGAAAAGGGTGAAGAACCTTTGTTTTCAGGGTCCTACAAGAAAGTCAGTCTTGGTAAGGTCACCATCATGCTGAGCTGCCTGCATTCTCATCTTTTCAACTCATTGAAACCCCATGTTGTGCTCCATGTGAGTGGAGTAGAATGCACCATCCTTGCTATTACAGGTTAGCTTAGCTCATAAAAGATATATTATGCCATGCTGCAAGAGTGAAATTAGCCTGGGCTATCCTTATGGGAATATTTTTATTTTTTAACATGCATAATATAGAATTTAGTTTAAATTGTAAATACACCTGTTTAGTAATTCTGAGAGAGTTACTGCTTTTTGTCAGTAAATGTTGGATATAGAACTTCCTTCCTCAATAGCTTTAATGCAGTTTGTTTGAGGCTTGGTCTTGAAATTTTATTATTCAGTCTTTTGCAAACATTAAAACATTTTGCAAACATTTTGTAAACAATAAAATGGATTGGCTAAAGGAAAATTATGAGGCTGGTTGTATTAAGTGTTTTGGTAGAGTCTCTTGGTCTAGGAAAAGAGTTAAAATTTAATCCAACTTTCTCATGTCTTGTTGAATTTAGAACTAGAGAGACTGTGAAATGGCCTCTGTGCACTGCCTGCATGGACTCTGCACTACCTGAGTGCATCTGACTATAATTTTTTTGAGAACTTGATATTTTTGTTAGGCTTGGTTAGTAATTGAGGAAATGTCAATAACTTAATAAATGGAGAAAGTCTAAATATTCTGGCAACAGGAGTAATGTTAGTGATTGCTTGTGAAAATGGTCTGAAATGACTTATCTTTACAGGAGATTGTCTGAAACAAGGCCAGAATCCATTTCTTAAAGGTGGCATCCAGCAGTTTAAAATGAGACCTTTTTTTCCTCCCTTTATATAGCCCTCTGCTCTGTTTATTATATGCTTCCAGTTCTAAAAGCAAATACGTCACGTCCGGTTTAGGCAGCAGTTTTTCTTGCTACACAAACCTGAAGTTAGTGCTTTCTCACGAGCTGCATGTTCCTCTCTTTCTCGTGGCCTGCTTTTGCACGTACACCAGGTGTTCCCATGTCAGTCAGGGTTTCTTGCCGTTCTCTCCAGCCACTGACTGTGATAGTCACTGTACTCTGCTTCTGCAGCTCCTCACCTTAGGAGCTGTGACCTATGGTTAAAGTACCAAAAAGTCTTTCATATTGCCCAGTTGAGGGTACTCTAACCTTAGCAGAACTCCTTGAGAGTGTAACTGTATCTTATTTCCCCATCTGTCCACAAACTTTGACTTTGCATTGGAATGGAAGAAGAGGATTCATGTAATTTTCCCCAGTATTTAAGTGGTGATATCGTAACCATTTCTGAAGAGTTCATCTGGTAATATCTCTGGTGTTCTTGCTAAAGTGAAAGGCTTTGGAACTTAAACTTAGTAACTTTGTTTCTAGATGCAAAATTTTTTCCTACGTTTCTCAGAGATATTTTACATTGCCCTCTTGTTCAACTATGTTTCCCACTGTTGCTTCTACACTTGGAATTTTAATTGCATACTGATTGCACAGAAGGTTTTATACCATTAGAGTTAGGTGCTGAACATTTCTCATGACTTGGTCAGATGCAATGTCCATAAACATGTATGGTTGAAGACTTGTTTCACAGCTGATTCATTTCCTGAAGTACTGTCCATCCTATCCATCGAGTTTCCTCTATGAGAACAATGTGTAATTACATAGTTACAGGCAGCATGGAGAGGCAAGCATGTTATGATTAAGTCTGGGGTTTTTAAATTTGAGTGCTTGACTTTCTAAACTCTGACATATTTTAGGGTGGTTTTTTTAACTAATAAGTAGTAAGGTCATTAATACACACTTTCTATATTCCTGAGTTATGTTATCCTGTTGAGTATGGTTTCTTACCAGAAAAATGTTCAGAATTTCGACTTGTTAAGTTGCTGGCAAAATCTCCCGCTGATTTTGATGTTATCAGGTGCTTTGACACTTCCTATGTCATGGTGGGGTTTTGTTAGGTGTGTGTTTGAACCCAATCACCAGCTAGAGAGAGAGAGAGGACAAAAACGTCCTCTTTGAGGGTTTAGCATTTTGGAGCACAAACTTGACCCCTTTGTAGTCAGCATTTAAATATAGGCTTGAAAGATTTATGTAAATATAAAGATAGTGGGTTTGTGTGGTACTTTATGTTCTCATGTTACGGTATGTTGCGTGTCTGGTAGGAGAAACAAGTATGTATGTGCTTTCTCATTCATTTTCAAGTGGATAAAGGAATAGCTTCTACGTGAAGCCCAGGTTTTCTAAGTGCATCAGTGTGTTAGCAAATCGAGGAGCTTTGCAGTAGTGTTGATGTTAAGTAAATTCATTTGAAGTTAATGTAGTCCTGACTACTAAATGTTTCTTGCTTTTTGCATTTGTAATGCTCTATGTCCCATAGACTCCTGAGGAGAGGTAACAGCATGTAATTCTTCCCACTGCTTCCCATTCCCAGAGTTCTGCTGTTGGAGTAAACTGTATTCCCACGTTTGCATGTTGTAACTTATTAATGAGAAATATATCTTCACTGATACAATAATTTATATATGACTTTGAATAAACAGGCTATAGTATGTGAGGTAGTGTAGTATTAATTACTCTCTTTAAACTATCTCTCTCGGGGAAGATACTTACCATACAGATTGCTGTGGAATGAACTGCTCTGATTTAATTGCCTTCTGTCTTCAGCTGTTCACTGTTCCATTAACTGATGCATGCTCAGAGCAGTGACTTCGTTTTTTGCTCTGTCTTTTCACTGTCCTGATAATACATGTAGTGCTATAATGGGAAGTTTTTGCAGGTACTCCTTTAGAAAGCCTCGGGAATTCTCATAGGTGGTCAGACCTAAACTTGTGCATCTTCACTGTGAGCCGTGGTGCTGTCAGTCTCCGTAGAAGGAATCTTGAACCATAATCCTCGGATTAGTTGAAGAGGATTTGAGGGTGCTTTTACCCTTACTAGTTAGCAACTTCCATTATGGTACGGCACATGACCAGGCAGTTACGGCTGTAGGAGATAGCTATGAATCACCTTTTCCTAGAATGGTTTCAGTCTGAGCAGTTTCTGCTCTGGATTTGGAAAATGGGTATTGATTGGTGAGGGGAAAGAATGAGGTGAAGAGGGGGAGAGAATTTTTTACTGCGGAGAAAGAGTATGAAAAGCCAGTCTTTTCCCCCCTCCTGCTATCTCTTCCCTTTTTCTTTCCTTTTCCTCTGCTCTCTGGTAGGTTACCCTTAATGTGATGTAGACTTCATCACATTGCTGATTTTGGCAGGGGGAGGGAAGGGAGCATGCGGTATATCAAGTTTGTTAAAACTGTGAACATCTGAGAGATTGTTTACTTCTCAGTGTCCTTGTGCAGTACTCAACATGGTATGATGATTAAGCAATATCAAGATTAACAAGCATATAGTATTTTACTATAACAGCATAATAAACTTCTCTGAAATAGCTTCTGCTTCCTGCATGGCTTATGAGGATGGACTATGTCTTGCAACAAGTCTTGTGAAGCTCTGGTCAATTGACTGGCAGCTCAGTGGTTGAAGAAGATTCCCCAAACCAAATTTTGCAAATTTGAAATAAACTACAAATATGATCAAACTTTTTAAAACTGAATGCAAGCATGAAAAAGGTTCTGAAACAAGGTAATATCTTGTTTAGTCTAATAGCTAGTTGGAACAACCTGATATGTGTGTTCAGTTAAATGGTGTTTTAGTCTCCAGGTGCATGTTTGCCCTGTGCAGTGATTGTTTCTTAGTGTAGATAAAACTGATGGGAATACTGGGTTTTTTTGAAATATGATTTTGAGTCTATTTTTGACCTAAACTTTTGAAACTTACTTTAAACCAGATATAAAAAAAAATTATTTTAGAAATGCACAGCGTTTCCTGGAATCCTACAGTAGCTTGGCGAAATTGCCAAATATTTTTCTTTTACATAATAGCTGTTTGAGGTCTTTGGGTCTGTTGCTGAAAAATTGGCTTCTTGAACTTTTAAACTCCATCATACTAATAAGATTCCTGAAATTTCAACCAGAATCACAGAAGAAACTTTCAAGGAATATGAAACAATAATGATAGGCTGCCCCAGAGTCAGGACACACAGGCTGTTTTCCCAAAAATAGATCCTGGGGGTTTTGATTAACTCCTTTTTTCATGGGAAGGTTGACAGTATGGAAAATCTGTCTTCCTTCCCAACCATTTGTGAGTATATTGCCCAGATAATCCTGAATGCTCAGGCATTGCTTCCAGTTTCCAGTAGATTGCAGTATAACAGTATGTGATGTCTTTTGTAATCTAAACTCTTACAGTTTTAAAATGTCAGGAAATTTCTGTGATTATATTTTTTAAATTTAATTATGTCCAGTCTTATGTACCTTTCTTACATCCATCCTTTTTCTTTATTACTATATAAAAGCAAAAAAAAAACCAAACCAAACAAAAAAACCCAAACAACCCCCCAAAAAACAGAGAAAAGCAATGGTGATCTTTGTGCTTTTATTAGAATTTGCCTCCCTGCTCCCCCTTTTAATTTTTAGGTCAAAGGGAGGTAATCTTTGTAACATATTATTTTGGAAAAAAAAAAAAAGTGCTTACTTGACTGAGCAAAATTCTTACAATATAAGCCTTTCACATGTTATTTAGCTTCCTGTCACCTGTGTAACGTAGACATAAGTTTTTTTGAAGTTCACTAGATGGCCTTAAACTCTTGCCCTTTGAGATGGTAAAGATGGAATTTGCCACCTTTCCGATCAGTAGTTCTATGCTTGAAGGGCCAGAGAACTGATGATTGAGTTTTGCCAAGATGAATGAATGGTCTTTGACAGTCCTGATTATTAACCATCAAATTGATGTGAGCTTGTAAAGTGTCTCAGCAGACAAGAGAAGGCATCTAACTTTTCTAGTTAAATCTGCCTGTGCTTCTTTCCAGAATTACTTTCCCATATTAGCTACTGCATGCTTACCTGTTTCTTCTGGTTTTCCATTTTCTTGCTGATCAGTCCTTTGACTTTAACATACTTCCGGAGAAATTCACTATGTTGCCATAGGAAGAACCATGGAACAAGTGTTACATCATTTGTAGTTATGCTAACTCACCTGGCTAGTTATGGATTTGTTTCACTTGTCACACACTCTGTTTAGCAATTACTTTTCTCTCTGCATCAATATTAAAAGGAAATGTTAGGATTTTAAAATAGTACAGTGCTTAGACATAGTGTGTGTGTATATGTATGTGTCTACACTAAGTTACAGTGACTAAAGGCAAACATGGTGCATGTGGAAGTGGAAGGATAGCAATATTACTTGTTTTTTCTTTTAGGTACATGTATCATGTTTTGACTAAAAATACAACAGTAACAGATCACAACCGCAACCTGCTGGTAGAGACTATTCGTTCTATAACAGAGATCCTGATATGGGGGGATCAGAATGACAGCTCGGTATTTGAGTAAGTACTTCTACGCAATTTTGATTCTGGTTTGGAAGAATGATTAGAGTTGCATAGAGATCTAGCTCAAAAGTTAACACTACCAAGACTGTTTCATGAATGTAGGTAGAAAGCTGTGTTCTGTAGTACATGGGTAAGCAGGATCGTATTCTTGTCATACAAAGAAGCAGAATTTGCTTCTGTTAACAAAGTGTTCCAAGTCCAGAGCCCCTTTCATGTAGTGCTTTTGCTTGACTCTTGAATCTTTAATATAAATACAAAATCTAACCTATTTTAGGGCCCAGATTTACTCAATACATCTATCATATGACTTTAATTTGTTCATTTCAATGTATATAAGATATTAATAGGTATCTTCATTTTAGCTATGATACTTAGAGGTTTTGTTCAGATGTTATTTTAATAATAACATAGTATAAAATAGCATGGTAGAAAAACTTCAAAACAAATAATCACAGTTGCAAATCTGACTATTAATGCCTGTTTCTTGACTTGTTTGCTATAAGACACTTCCTCTTTTATAAAGGCAACTTGTGCATGAGATAAGTAAAGCTAAGGTGTTTGGTGTTTTTAATTACTTATTTAGGGAGTGGTTAGTTTTATTTTACAAGATTATTTCAACATGATTTGGCTATGATGTGAACTAAGAAAAATAATTTATTTTGATTATTTATACTG